AAATACTTTCATCATTTCATCTTTTAATCTTCATTCCATTCTTTATTTCTTTTATTCATGTCTTGATAATAACTTTCAACTAACAATATTTTGATGAGAATTGATTGAATTAATCAAAAATAATGAAATACCAATAAGAAAACACAACAACACACAACACATAGAAAGTTTTAATCAATAAAACAAACAATAAATGAAATGAATAAACAATAATCAAAAAATAAACAATGAAATAAAGTGAAATAAAAAATATAAACAAATACATTTTATAAACACGCAGAAATGATTATTTTAATTGAACTGAGTGAAATAACATCACACTTAACATAAAATCAATGATTTCAATTAATAAAAGAAATAATCTGGAAAATAACATAACAAAACAATAACTATAAAATATAAACTATATTCTGTTTAATTACAATTCCATTTATTCAAACACATGTATAGCACATTGTATTAACTCATTTTACCTAATTTTTAAAAGTAATTAAGAGAGTATAACGTTCATTATGTTTTAATTTGATATTAAAAATGAACATACAAAATCGGGAACCAAAATAAGCAAAGAAATAATGCATCTAAATAAAAAACCCCAAAAAGAAAAGGGCAAAATATTTTGCATCAATAAAATAATAGTTTTTATTATTTTGCTCCTAAAAAAAAATAAAAAATAAAAAAGTAAATTAAATACTCATTCTATATTCATTTATATTTGTTTATATTTTATATCATTTTATGGTAAATTGTTATGAAATATAAATGATTCAGAAATGATATTTGATTCAATGTAATTATACATTTTTATTATTATGTTATTAATGTTATTTATGTATTTTATTTTTATATATTTATATATTTTATTATTATATTTATTTCTATTATTGTATTATATATATATATATATATATATATCATCATATTATCTCTTTATTATTATATTTATCATATTTTATTAGTTTTATATTCTTATTATTTATATTTTATTTTATATATTAATATATTTCTATTTATATATAATTTATTATATATTAATATATTTCTTTATCTTATTTTCATTTTTATTATATTTTTATATTTTATATCTATTTTCTCTTTATATTTATTATTATTTATATTATATTGATTTTATTTATCTTTTCTTTTATATATTTTATTTATTATTATATCATTTCTTTTCTCTTATTATTTCTTTATCATTTATTATTATTTATTTATTTTTTATATCTTCTATCTATATTATATGAATTTATTATTTATCATATATTACATATTGTATAATAATCATATAACATTTATATTTGATTATATATTATATTTTTATTCTTTTCTCTTCTTTTTTATATTATTTTATTTTTTATTTGAATATATTTGTTTTTGTATTCTTGTATTTATTTTATTTCTTATTTTTTGTGTTTATTTTATTCTTATTTATCATATTTATTATTTATATTATGTTATATTTGATTTTATTAATTATATTAATTAGTATTTTATTAATATAAATATTATGTTTATTATTTTATTATTTATTTATTTTTATTATTTATTTTATCTTTTCTTATTATTCTTTTATTATTTTATGTTTATTATATTTTATTTTTATATTTCTTTTTCTATGTATGTTTTTATTATTTTTATTTATTATATATATTTCTTTTATTCTTATTCTGTTATTATTTATATTTTTTATTTATTTTATTCATTCGATTGTTTAATAAAAAATATATTCAATTTTATTATTTGTTTATTATTATTATTTATTTTTATTTATATATTGATTTGATTATTATATTG